AATTATAGCTGCTTCAGTATAATCTTATCTGCATGCAAATATTTATTAATTCTTAAAAAAACACTCAGGTTTATGAGTATGGGATATTGTGCTTCTATATCCATTATTCAAAATGCAAGAAAGTGACCTGATATTGTTGCACAATATTATGCCAGCAGGAAAAACAAAAGGGCAGCCTGAATGTTGACAACAATGGCATCAATCAAGATAAGCTACAGCACTGGTTCTTAACCTTGGGTTACTCAGGAGTTTTGGACTGCAACTCCCAGAAGCCTTCACCACCAGCTGTCCTGACTGGGCTTTCTGGGAGTTGCAGTTCAAAAGCATCCGAGTAACAAAGGTTAAGAACCACTGATCTACAGGATACCCTCTTGTGATCACTACTATTCACATTCTTGAAAAACAGCAATGACACTCCACCTCAGAAGTGACTTGATGGCACATAGCATATTTGGAGCTTTTATTCTTAATTACCAGACAACTGCATAGTGACAAGATGGGTGGAATGGTTAAAAATTATTGGCATAAAAGCTCTGCTAACACTGTGTAACACCATCCCCAGTTACAAAAAAAGAAAACAAACAAAAAACCCAGTAATATCATAGCTTTAAAGAGTGAGCTTCTGAATATTTTTTCTCTATTCTTTTTAAAATACCTTTTAAAATATTTTACAGCTAGACACAGAATCCCTTTACCAGCATGAATGTGTTTTGCAAGGAAGGTGTTTAAGTTTTTATCCTGAGAGTCACCTAATGGGATCCTGATTGACAGGGTCAAAATTTAATATTTCCCTAGATGTTGAGGTGATTTCCCCGTTTGAAGACATGTATCAGGAGCCTGGTCTCAAAGATCTCGAGGGAACATTTACTGAAAGCTCCCTGGGATGGGACAAAACACAACTCTTCTGTGCTTTTGTAAAGCCAGAATACTTTTAATATACCTTACAAAATTGTATGCTATTTCCTTGGATATACAGAGTAAAATGTCTCTTTCCGGAGAACTGTCACTCCACGACTTTCTTTAAAGCAAACCTGTTTTTTTTAACTTTCAAGTAAAACTTGTCTTTTGACTGTTTCTGTGACGTTTCATTGCCCTCCAAACATCTCTCTTCCAGGGCCATGAAGCTGGGACAATGTGCCTACTCTGGAATGCTCTTGCTGCTATGCCTTTTCTATGCATGGTTATAAGAAAGTCACTGTTTCTTACTTTTTGAAAGGCCTTTTTTTGAGGTTCAGTATTTCAGCCCCTGAAGCCTGGAATCCTTCCAAATTAAAAAAAGGCAGGTGGAGCCAACCATTATCTTTAAACATAAGCAAGACTGATCTTTTAATTTATTTTCACTGTTTTAAATCTGGGGATGTTTAAGGTTGCTTGTCTCTATACGGGGAATGTTAAACTGTTTTACTTTTTAAAAAAGCGTACCTAAAAGCCACCACCTCCTCCCTTGACCCTTGCCCGGCCTGGCTAATCAAAGCGGCCAGGCCTACAACAACGGAATGGGCCACTGTCATAATTAATGGGTCTTTCCTTGAGGGTAGATTTCCATCTGTCCTCAAGGAGACACTCATTAGGCCCATTAGGAAGAAACTAAGTTTGGCAGCAGACGAAATTGGCAATTATAGGCCCGTCGCCAATGTTTCTTTCCTAAGCAAGGTATTTGAGAGGGTGGTGGCCGATCAGCTCCAGGCGCACCTGGATGAAACAGATGCCCTGGATCCATTTCAGTCGGGCTTCAGGCCGCTCCATGGTACAGAAACGGCATTGGTCGCCCTGTGCGATGACCTATTGAGGGAGGCCGACAGGGGGAAAGTGTCTCTGCTGGTCCTCCTCGATATCTCATCGACCTTTGATACCATTGACCACGGTATCCTCCTGGGGAGGCTCTCTGAGTTGGGAATTGAGGGCCTTGCGCTGGCTTGGCTCCGCTCCTTCTTGGAGGACCGCCCCCAGAGAGTACAGCTTGGGGAGAGTTTCTCGGCTCCGTGGAGTCTCAATTGTGGGGTTCCACAGGGGTCGATTATCTCCCCAATGCTGTTTAACATCTATATGAGGCCGCTGGGAGGGGTCATCCGGGGGTGTGGAGCTCGATGTCATCAGTATGCTGATGATACTCAGCTCTACATCTCCTTTCCACCTTCTGCAGGAGATGCCGTTCTGTCCCTTCAGCGCTGCCTGGCGACCGTACTGCGATGGATGCAGGAGAACGGGCTGAGGCTGAACCCGGACAAGATGGAGGTGCTGAGGGTGGGTGTCCCCACAGTGGGGGGTTTGGGAAATTCCCTCTCCTTTGGGGGGGTGACCCTCCCTGCCAAAGATGGGGTCCGCAGTTTGGGGATCCATCTGGACCCGGCGCTAACTGTGGAATCCCAGGTGGCCTCTGTGGTCCGAACCGCCTTCTATCATCTTAGGCGGATAGCCCAGCCGCAGCCCTATCTCGATGTGGGGGCCCTCACTACCTTAGTACATACGCTCGTAATCTCAAGATTAGACCACTGCAACGCGCTCTACGTGGGGCTGCCTTTGAGGCTGCTGTGGAAATTACAGGTGGTGCAGAATGCTGCGGTTAGACTCCTTAGTGGTGTGAAAAAATACCAACATATCTCCCCCACTCTGGCCGCGCTGCATTGGCTGCCCATCCAGTTCCGCATCGACTTCAAAGTGTTGATGCTTACGTATAAAGCCCTAAACGGCTTAGGGCCTCGATACCTGGCGGAACACCTACTTCCACCAAGTTCTACCCGTGTCATGCGCGCGAGTCAGGAGGTGAGGCTGAGGAGCATAACGCCGAGGGAGGCCCGGAAAGAAAAGACAAGAAATCGGGCCTTCTTGGCGGTGGCTCCTCGCCTCTGGAACAACCTTCCCCCTGATATTCGCACGGCTCCCTCGCTGGGTATTTTCAAAAATCAATTAAAAACATTGACGTTTCGGCAGGCCTTCCCCTCAGCTAATTCCTGATTTTCCCTTTTCTCCTCTCCTAGTGTTTGCCCCATCTTGTTTAATGTTTTTCCCTTTATTAAAAATGGTTTTACTTATATTGTTATATGTCTGTTGTAAGCCACCTAGAGTGGTCCTGAGGGACTAGATAGGCGGGATATAAAATAAATAAATAAAATAAATAAAAAAAACTTTGCCCAAACTGTCCCAAAATTAACACAGTGCGAAAGCAGACTGTCTGCTACATCTGTGTTAAATTTGATTCTGGTCAGAAGTCCAATTTAAAATCATAATTCTTGTTAGGATGCCCCCATTTTTATAATTGCCTTGTAGAATGTTGATTTGCTATACTGCACAGTAACATCACTGCACTCTTGCTCAGTGACAATTCTGCATCTGTACTTCTGCCCACATATTGCTGCTGTTGTTCTCCTATGTTTATAGAAATGAAACATTTATTAATCGTTAATGTTATTATTAACAGTAAATCTTAAAAAAACAGAGAGACCAGATAATAGCATGTTAAAAGGAAGAGGTGGCAGAGGAACCAGCCCACCTGCTGTTTTATAGATACACATTTAAAGGAGAGTTTAGTTTATTTAAGTCCTGCCAGGAAACTTAATAGCAAGAAAACTCATCTCCCTATCCATGTAAGTACTTTCCTCCACTTCTTAATTTATCTCCTAGGCTCCACTTATCTAAGTTTTTCTTGGTCTGACAATGTTTCAGAAGTGCTCCAAGAACAATATGCTCATGAAATCTCTAGCTAGATAGCCTGTTGCTGCAAAACTGACAGAATGTCTTCCACGGCAGCTGTTTTCAAAGAGATAGCAGTCTCAGTCAGTTTCAGCGTGAATAATAAAAATAAATTTTAAAAAAATTAGAAAAACCACCCTCTTTTTTTTTTTTGGGTTATACAAAGGAATGTCCCCTATGTTCCCCTATGGGTTGGGAACAGACAGAATCCTCTTACATCCTTGTGCAGGCAGAACCACTTTGCGGGCTGATTCTCAGGGATTTACTACAGAACTACCCTTCTGGGTACTTAGGATCTGCCTGGAGAAAACTCAACAAGGGCAGAGCCAAGTTGTGTCAGAGCCAAACCTCCTCCAGCCTACAAAGACAGGAACTGTGATGGTATGACGATAGGCTAAGCTGAAGGTACTGTAGTCCGAAACGGCTGCAAACATCCTTAGGCTCATCTTTCTTGATTCCTTAGGATTGCACCCTAAAGTAAGAGTGGACAACGTTTGGATCTCCTCCCAGGCCTAAGCAGCAGAACTAACTGCAAAGGCACTTGCAGTTCAAGAGCAGATGGAAGGTCACAAGGTGTCGACCTCTGGGTTAAAAGGTTTAATTCAGCACAAGCTTTCAGTACCTTTCTTTGGGTCAGAAACACCACTGCACAATTAATAAATATATTAGAACATTTTCGCCCAATAACATCAAGAGCATTTGGGACCGTTAACATCGGGTTGAAGTTGTCCATTCTTTTACACACTCGCAGACAACGGTGGGAAAAAGCCCTTTCCAGGTTAACTTTGGTTTTGCCAACTCCACTTTATTTTTATCCTAATAGGGTTTTATCCTATTAGGTGACTTCCACTCAAGAATCCCTGTTCTCCGTGTGTTTTCAAGATGACAGCCCACGAAGTCCCTTATCAGCCCCAGTGCTGTGCTCGTCCACCCCGTACTTTCCACTTTATTATACAAATAGTCTCTTCGTGTCATTGACTATGGATAAATGTGGGAAAATATTAATGGAAGAACATGTCCAGAAGCTGATTAGTGTGTTCAGCATAAAAACCGGTAAGGCCCCTACGACCTGCCGGCTTCTCCGGCCATAACCACCACGCAACCGCCTCTTTCGGGAGCCTAATGTTGCTTTAAGAATGAATCGGACGCCTCTCCATTCAAACACCGCCTTCTCGGACTTGCCGGCCAATCTGAAAGAACTTCCTCCTTGAACCGCCAGCCAATGGAAGCGCTCCACGAAGGGCAGTGCCGGAGGGCGGAGGCTTAAATTGAACGTGGCGGTAAGTGACGAGCTCCGAAGCCAATGCGATCCAGGAGTGAGCGTAGGGGCGGGCAGTCAGCGCCCGCCTGAGGCAATGGGTAGGAAGCATCGGAACGTTGGAGGTGGAGCTTGTGGCGGGCCAGTGATCGAAGGAAGGGTCGAGGCGGCTGGTGGAGCTGTCGGAGGGAGCACGTGACAAGAAGCGCTGGGGCTGCCCGGAGTCCTGAGGCGGGTGGGGTGTCGAGTGAGGTGAGTCTTAACTTCTGCGCCCCGTTTTTTCCCCTCTGAATGAGGGGAGCCTCAGAGAAGCCTCTGGGGGGGGAAGGCCAGGGGGAGTGGCCCTCCTTTCGCGCGCGGGGCACCCTGGGACGCTGGCGGAGGCGAATAGCCAAGGGGGGGGGGTTTCTTGACTTCGTGTGGCGGCGGGTCCTCTGGGGAGGGGGCGCGAAGGAGGATAACTGCTTGAGAGTTGAGCCCAGGGTCGCGATGGAGAGGGGTAGGCGGGTGGGATGATGACGGGAGGGACGGGAGGAAGAGGAAAAGAACGATGGCGCTGGCAATACAGATGAAGCAGGCCTCGGGGGCCTTTGGTCGGCACTGAGATGGGAGAGAGAGGGCTTGGATCGTCTTCCTTGCTAGCCGTAGCGTGGCAGTGAGTTCCCCTGGCGGGGCGCCCTGTGGGATCAAGGCACCGTTGGGGTTTCGCCCTGGGTGGTAGTTAAAGTGCCTGCACAGGGAGGCCTCCCTCCCTCCCTGTGCAGGCACGCGCACTGAGGTGGTATCGTCGCAGATCTGCTGGCCAGCTGAACATGCACGGCATGACTAATCACTTCGCTTTTTTGGGACGGGGGGTGTTCATTTCTTGGCCTTGGGAGGGCGGGAGGGGATGCCTTCTGTGGTTGCGCTTGAGGGAGGGAGGGAGTAAGGATGGAAGGGAAATACCCTGTTTCCCCGAAAATAAGCCCTAGCCTGAAAATAAGCCCTAGTATGATTTTTCAGGATACTGGTAACATAAGCTTTAACCCCAAAATAAGCCTCAGTTAAGTGACACCCTGCCCTCCACCATTGTGCAGCAACTAGAAGAAGATGACATTTGAACAAATGTAGATTGTTGTTCATGAAAAAAAAATCTCCTGAAAATAAACCCTAATGTGTTTTTGGAGCAAAAATTCATATAAGACCCTGTCTTATTTTGGGGGAAACACTGTAACAGTATAAATGATTTTTACTAAATAGGAAAGTTGCCTTGAGTTGAAAGGAGGGCCAGGCAATGCTAGAATAAGAAGTCTAGCCTTATATATAACCAGCCTTCCTGCCCCATGAGCTTAAAAACATGCGTAACTTTGTGTAAGGTGTATACTCTTGGTCTCCTCATCTCAATGAGGATGGAAATTAATTTGACACAGACTATAGAGTATATCTGTAATGCAGCATGGCATTTGGATTTATGAGTAGGAGATTCTCATGTAGCTAATGGTTACAATTTTGCTGCATGTATGTTTTGAATTGAGTAGTTCTAGAAGGATGGGTTGTGAGGCTGTTTTAGTGCAAGTCTAATCTGATGCAGGTAATTTGGAGATAAAACTTTGAAAAATAGTTGAGGGAAATGTCCGAAATAAAACAACGAAACATGGAATGCATTTTAAGATTGTACTTAATTGGGATTTTAAGGAAAGATTATATTAGCTGAAACTGCTTTTAGAATAGGGCTATTCAAAAAGAAGAAGCTACGTTTGGTGAGCTGAAGGAATTACTGAAATGTGCCTGTGAGGAGAAAAGTGGGCTGCAAAATGAGGGTACCAGTAGTGTCATAAAGCTTCCCAGGCTTTATATTTTAATGTAAGCTTTTGTGGACACATCCACTTCATCAGACATTAAGAGACAGAATGAAGTGAAATGTATATGAAATGCCAGTTTCCTCTTCCAAACCTTTCCCAGGCTTGAGTTTCAAACATAGCATTAACACGAATGAGGAACCACCTATGAGTCTACTTGAAAGCGGTACATCACAGAATATACATTCCAACTGTATAACTAAGTAGAATTCTATATTCCCCTTGGTTAATTATGTTAAATTTTCCTTTGTGTGACCTGAAGTGGAAACATTTCTTTGCAGCAAGAAGGATCAAATAACATACTGCTCAAATAGGAAACGTTTGTAGTGACATACGATGTTATTTTTTTAAAGAGGTGTGGTTCTGCATAATGCTGAGGGAAGGCTTTCATACTGCAGCTGAACTGTGAAAGAAGCCTCTGTTCCTCACAGCAGATGAAGCTTTAATGAAATATCACTCATTTATGATTCCAAGGCATAGTTTTTCTATTTTGAGAAGAAATTTATTAACTATATGTTTCCAATTTATTTTGGTATGCAATTAACATAAAACATTTATTCTGTAATAAATTGGTTAATGTTTAAAGGGCCACATGACTCCTTGTTTTTATGGAATAACAAAAATCTGTTTTCTTGACTTGTTGGTTTTGATTGACATGACGGGAAGCTAGTATATATGAAATGTGTCTTGTAGCACACTTTTAGACATGCTTTTTTGGAAATAATTGCACTGCATTTAATGCGGCTAGTAAGTGAATTGAGGACTGGACTACTATATGATTTGTAAAGTTTTAAAATCAATCTTATATAAGAAACAGAAGGCACTTGTCTGAAGGAGTGGAAATTAGATGTTTAAATTAATTGGCAATCTAGCCACATAATCCCTAATTAAGTGTTATGTTGTCCAGTGTAAGTAACTGGATGAAGAAGGGAATACAGGACTCTTGTATGCTCACCTTTCACTCTCAGTATGTGGAGAGCCATGGTTTGAAGGAGAGTGTCTATGTATGGATTCAGAACAGTGCTTCTTGCTCTGCCTGTGAAGGGAGTGATGATGGAGGGGACAGGCTAGCACACTCTTAAATGCTTATTTAAACCAAGTCTCAACAAGGCTAAAGAAAAGATCTTAAAAGATTGAATTTCTACTCAGCATCACTTAGTAGGGATGAAAAAAGTATTGTAATTTGGAGAGATGTTAATTATTGTCTCCTACTTACAATGACCCTATGAATGAACAATCTCAAACGTCCTGTCCTTAACAGCTTGTAAAAACTCAAGTCTTCTCCAGATAATTCTGTCTTCTCTCCTCCAGCACCACATTTCAAATTATTAATTTTTTTCCTGTCATCTTATTTACTGTCCAGCTTTCACACTCATACATGGTGACTGGAAATACAAGAGTGTGGAGCATCTTGGCCTTGGCTACCAGTGTCACATTCTTACAATTGAGGACCTTTTCTAATTCTTTAATTGCTGTCCTTCCAAGTCTCAGTCATCTTCTGATTTCATGGCTGCAGTCTCCATTTGTATTAATGATTGAACCAAGGTATACACAATCTCTATTTCAGTTTTTTCACTGTCAGCATGGAAGTTGTGTAGTTCTTTTGTAGTCATGTTTTTGTTCTCTTAATATTAAACTTCAGTCCTACTTTGTTCTTTTGACTTCTTTATAGTACCTCCCCAGAGTGCTGAATTATTTTCTGTGCAGTTTACAACATAATTACAAAAACAACACTTTGCGCTCTCCCCCCCCCCAAAAAAAAAGCTGGGTAGTGGTTTTACTGACCTGACCTTGGAAGGTTGAGTCAACCCTGAGCTGGCTATCTGCAGGTTCAGCTATTGTCCTGCATTGGTACTTTCTTACAGTACAGTATTTCATTTTCATTAAAAGTAGTTTCAGGCCATTGCTGCTTTCTGCCAGTAGATAGTGTCATCTGAATATCTTAAATTACCATTTTTTCTTACATAAATTTTTACTCCTCCTTCATCTGAATCTAGTCTGGCTTTCCATATGATATGCTCTGTGTACAGAAACACCATTTTTGGGGGGATGTGGGAATGGCATTGAGTAGTATAGTTGCTGTGCTCTGTGTTGTGAGTTTATCACTTAACTAGCTGGAAAACTGACCCCAGTTGAACCATCAAAGATAGGTTGGAGATATAGTGGTACTGCTGAGGGACCTGATGGTCATGATGCTAAGAAGAATGGGCTCTAATTCATCATTAAGAGAGAGCTAGTAAAACCTTGTGTACAGTAACTTGTTAGTATATAAAAGAAACAGTATGATATAGTTCCATTGCATGTAAATGCAAAATAAAATAATAGCAAATGTACTTGACAAAGTGTCCTTAAAAGTCAAGTTTCAAGGAGGACTCTGTCACTTAATTTCATCACTTGCCAGCCTCCTTCCACCATGGATACTGTTCCTCCTTTTCACTTCTTACAGTACATGCCTTTCTAGAAGATAGTGAAGGTCCAGCTGTCAGTGGTGCTGTGCTAATGTTCCATGATGCAGGTCTAATGGCAGCTGCTCTCTGTCTCCAAGATTAGAGCCATTCGGTCTAAATCGGGAAACAAGAACAAAGAGTGGGACAGCAGCCTTCATGAAACAGAATTCCCTTGAGAGCTGTATTATGGTAGCCCTCCATGCCACCTAAAAATACAATCTGGGTTCTAAAAGGATATGAATGTTCTCATTTTGGGGGAAAGAGAAGATGGGAACATTTGACAGACCTAAGAAAAATTGTGTCCAGAACTGTTTTACCCTGGTCACTTATTTGTGGTAGACAATGAGCTGGATAGTTATTTACAGATTTAGAGTAACGTACATTATGGCATGGAGCTGCTACCATATCCCAGATACTTCAGCTTCTGAAAGGAAATTTTATCATCAGCTTCACTACCATATGATGTTTATTTTTAAACAGATTTTCAGCCTGTTCCTCTGTGTAATGTACTTAGAAAAAGGTTGCAGCGAGTCTAGACATTTAAGCATAGGATTTAATAATATGGTTTGGAAAAGAGACTGCATCTATTAACTCTTCCAGCTTGATTTCTTCTGCTCAGTGTAAAAAGTATAGCAAAGTTTGTGAAGGCTATGTTAATAGTGCCTACTTGATAATGAAGTTGAAGTATAACACAAAGGGAGAGGCCTGTGACATTGTTGGTAAGGTGTCCATTTTGTCAGGAGTGACAAACCAGAATTTCATTCTGGACATTTTCAGCTCATTTCAGATGACATCTGAGTAGAATAAAAATGAAATATATTATGGAAGTTTTATAGATCTTGGAGGTGATAATTATTATGGTATGGCATAGGGCAGTGGTGTCAAACTGTGGCCCTCCAGATGTTCTTGGACTTCAACTCCCAGAAGCCTTCACCACCACCTCTGCTGGCCAGGATTTCTGGGAGTT